CCCCTGTGCCGTGTTCCCCACCGATTTTAACCCAGAGGGTCTCCAGCCGTCCACCCTGGTCACCAATATCAGCTTGCAGGGACGTGTAGCTTTCCTTAATATAGAGAGCTACACCCCCGCCCCTTTTCTCTACACGATCCCTCCTGTACAGGGTATAGCCATCTATACCCGTGGTCCAGTCATGGGTGGAGTCCCACCGGGTCTCCGTTATCCCTATGACATCATAATTATTTGCATTGAGCAGGAGGATGAGTTCCTCCTGCTTATTCCCCAAGCTCCTGGCATTTGTGTACAGGCAAGCAAGTGCCCCATGGGGGGCTCCTTCCTTGCCCACAGGTTTTGCCAGGGCTGGGGCAGGGGTGGGCTCCCTTAAGTGCCTTGACCTGCTGGCTTTGTAAGGATTGCTCAGCGGGCCAGCAGTGGCAGTAGTGCCCCCGTCCCCCAGCAGGCTTAGTTTAAAGCCCGGTGGAGCAGATCAGCCAGTCTGGCTGAGAAGAGCCTCCTCCCTGGGGGAGAGAGGTGGAGGCCATCTCTTCCCAGCAGCTCGCTGCCTCTCTCTCCAAAGAGCGGGCTGTGGTCATGAAAGCCAAAGCCTCATCTGTCACTAAGTTGCCTCCCCCATTCAGTAAGGGACCCATACTTTCCCTGACCTTCCTCTTGTTGCTAACATACTTGTAGAAACCCTTCTTGAAACCCTTCTTGTTACCCTTCAAATTGCACTTTGGCCTTCCTGACTTCATCCCTGCATGCCCGAACAATATTCTTATACTTTTCCCTAGTTGGTTGTCCAAGCTACCACTTGTTGTAACCTTCCTTTTTCTGTTAAGCTCACCAAAGAGTTCTCTGCTAAGCCATACTGGTTGTTTGCAACATTTGCTATTCTTTCTGCACATCAGGATCGTTTATTCCTATGCCTTCAATAAGGTTTTTTAATATACAACCAACTCTCCTGAACTCCTTTCCCCCTCAGACTGGGAGCCTGCTCATCAGTTCCCTGAGGGAGTCAAAGTCTGTTTTTCTGAAGTCCAGGGTCCTTACTCTGCTGCTCTCCTTCCTTCTTTTTGTCAGGATCCTGAGCTCAGTCATCTTGTGGTCACTGCTGCCGAAGTTGCTATCCACTATACTACATACTCCACCAAGTCTTCCCTGTTTGCGAGCAGCAGGTCAAGAAGAGCACGGCCCCTAGTTGGCCACTCGAGCACTTGCACCAGGAAGTTGTCTCCAGCACTCTCCAAAAACGTCCTGGGTTGCCTGTGCACTGCTGTATTGCCCTCACAGCAGACATCAGGGTGATTGAAGTGCCCCTGGAGAACCAGGGCCTGTGATCTGGAAATTTCTGCTAGCTGCTTGAAGACAGCCTCATCCACCATTTCCTCCTGATCTGGTGGTCTATAGCAGACCCCCACCACAACATCCCCCTTGTTGCTGTCCCCTCTAACCTTAAACCAGAGACTTTCTACAGGCCCATCTCCAGCTTCATACTGGAGCTCTAAGCTATTGTATGGTTCTTTTCCTCCCCTTCTCTCCTGTCTGTCCTTCCTGAACAGTTTGTACCCATCCATGACAGCGCTGCAGTTATACGAGCTATCCCACCAGGTCTCTGTTAATCCAATTACATAATCCACATAACGTCATCCAATATTTGGAATAACTATGTGAAATCAAAAAAAGTAAAATTGAAGACATGATAGAAACATTGTAATGGGTGAGGGGCTGTGCAGTAGCATCCTGAACATATTGGTAAGAACAATATCTCTGGAGGTATTTAGAAATGAAAAGGAAGACTGGATGGAAGGCCTGATGTTGTAAGTGCCATCAGATCCTGTTACTTTTAATGGGGGGGTCAAAGGTACTAAGAAACATAAAGAGACTATTCAGCAATTTGCAAGAGTGCTCTGACCATGTTCACAACAATCTGGCACTAGCAGTGGATGCAGGTACATTTTAGCTTGGCTTGCATTAGTGAAGGTGAATAAATTACACAGGATTAAAAGAATTCAGAACTAAAAATAGTAGTGCTTTAAGAATCCTAAACCCCTAAAGTGCAGTAGCTATTTGGAGTACTGCCGTTTGTAGACAGTGAAAGTAGATGATCTTTTTTTGTTGTTTTTTTAGTCAATTGGATTTAACGAAACATACAATTCAAAGACAGAAAAGGCTTCTTGGACACTTATATTTTGTCCTTTACCCCTTGTACACATAAACATATCCCTCAGATCACTAAATTCTTCCCAAAAGTAAATTGTTTTCTGGTTAAATTTTAGAAAGAATAATGAAATACACTTCCTGGAACCGTTGTTTATTTAAATATAAATCTTGTGTCCTTTTTATTATGTCTTACAAGACTGTTACTGCCTGAACATAACTGGTCAAAATATCCAGTAACTTCCTGGAAAATTAAGGGAACTTCAGAGAACATCATATTTGATTTTGACTTACACAGTCAGATTCTGTTCTGTTAGGTGCCTACAAGTGTTGCATGCTACTCAAATCCTGGAAGAAAAAGTTAAAGTAAAACATGAGATGCATCCTCCTCTGGCTCACTGCTTTGTGTTACTAACACACTGTAAAATGAAAGTGTTTACACATTTTTTCAGCAATGGAATAAAATTGCATTTAGGTGCCTAAATCTACTTTGGTGCTAATGGATGGAATAAAATATGTCCCACTGTGACTATTAATTTTCTTACTGCAGTGCTTCTCGGCTCCAACCAATATTAGGGTGCTGTTGTGCTAGACACTATGTGAACCAGAGACACCGAATACATGGGGGCCCAAGGGCCCTGGCTCCCCTCGGGAAGAGGGCTGTCACCTGAAATGTGTGAAACTTTCCACGTGTCCATCATCTTAGGCCTCCCTCTGGCAAAAATAAAAGTCGACACCTATAGTATGAACACAGTGCATGGTACTACCCTACCGTTGAGAAGTTTGCAATCTGAACCATTTCAACTAATATAAAAAATGGTTAGGCTGTTCCATTTTCGTATCTGTTTTTTTGTAAGGCTCAGAGGTACCAAAATACAATGTCATTGTTTATATTTTAAATAGATGGAAGGTTACAGAAGGAGAGAAATAAGGAGACTCCCATAGTGATCTCAACATGAGCTTTCTTTCTATGTTTCTGTTCCTCCTGTTGAAGGCTGTTGTAATATGGAATCAATCATGGGAGCATCTTTTCATTTCTCCCGTGCAGTGAAGAATGCCTTATTGATCCACTGATTTTTCAATAAATAGCATTGTCCATCGGTGTCCATTAAAACAGTTTCCACATTTGCTGTTCTCCAGAAATGAGCCACGGGGAGGTGACTTACACAGATGTGAGATTTCACTCTTCTTCACAGGAGAGGAGGAGCCAAAGATCTCAGAAGTCTGAAAAGAACCAAAGGCCTCAGAACAATGAGAGCAAAGGTACTGTAATGAGTGTTACCAAGAGGCTACCCTGAATTCTCTTCTACTGTTCATAGCCAAGTTTCTTCCCCTTCTCTATGAACCAAACACTGTATTTTTGGAATGCAAAGGGGAAAACATACCTCTGCAATGTTACCATGCTACTGAGAAACCTGCAGCATCTAAGATGTTGGTCAAAGAAGTTTGGAAATAGAACTCATTGCTTTAGAAGTTAGGAACAGTACATCTTTGCACATAACCATACTCAAGCAATAAAGCTGGTGTCAGCTTTCACACCTGGTCAAGTGGGTGATATCCATATGTAACTGGAACTCCCCCTTAAGTTGTAGTCTAACCCAGCCACCCAGAACAGAGGCTCACTTTGCTTATCTTTACTTATTGACCCACTGATTTTTCATTTAATACAGTTTTCCATTGCTGTCCACTAAGACCATTTCCACATTTGCTATTCTTCAGAAATGAGAGAAACAGAGGTGACTTACATGGACGTGAGATTTCACTGTTCTTCGCAGGAGAGGAGGAGCCAAAGATCTCAGAACTCTGAGAAAGACCAAAGGCCTCAGAACTCTGAGAGCAAAGGTAGTGTAATGTGTGTTACCAAGAGGCTACCCTGAATTCTCTTCTACTGTTCATAAACAAGCTTCTTCCCGTACCCTAAGAGCCTAACATTGTATTTTTGGAATGCAAAGGGAAACAAAAATCTCTGCAATGTTGCCTAGTACCATGTTACTGAGCATGAATGACAGGTGCCTCCTGAGACTGGGAGGGCACCATGGCAGTGAGCAGCAAGTGGGGACCACCCACAGATGCCGGCAGCAGTGAGGAGGGGGCGGGTGGCAAGCAGCGACCACCCACAGAAGCCAGTGGCGGGGTTTGCGGTGGGGCCCCAAAAGAGGCCAGTGGCGGCTTCAGCGGTGGCCAGTCCCCACCTCCCCTCCCCCCCGTGATCCTCCTATGCATCGCCTATGTTACAAAGAAACCTGCAGTGTCTAGGATGTTGGTCACAGAAGTTTGGAAATAGAACTCACTGCTCTAGCAGTTAGGAAAAGTACCTGTTTGAGCATCCAGCATAATAAAGCAGTAAATCTGGTGTGGGTTTTCACACCTGGTCAAGTGGGTGATTTTCATATGTAAATGCAATTCTACCTGAAGCCGCAGTCTGACCCAAACACCAAGGTTCCCCTAAGGTGCGCGCATGCACAACCATGCACAACTAAAAGTTTGGCTGTGCACAGCCTTTTCAAGGCCACACACCAGGAGAGGCTGGAGCCGGAGCCTGGTGCAGGCTCTGCCGGCTCTGGGGAAGTGATCCACTCCCCGGCCCTAGTGTGGGAGAGTGGAGCACTTCCCCGAAGCTGGCAGAGCCCGCGCCAGGTTCCGGTCCCAGCCCCTGGCCCCAACTCCAGCCCTTGGCCCCCGGCTCCAGTCCCTGGCCCCTGGCCCCCGGCTCCAGCCCCCGGCCCCAGCCTCCAGCCCTCCAGCCCCCGACTCCCAGCCTCTGGCCCCTGGCCCCAGGCCTTTGCCTCCTGCCCCCAGCTCTCAGCCCCCTTCAGTAAGTGTCCCACACCAGATCAAGGCAGCGTGCTCATGGACCGCTGCTCCTTAGAGGGAACATTGCCAGACACCCAGAATGGACTCACTTCACTTATCTTTATACCAGTTTTGTCCTTAGATTCTCCTGCTCTGCCCACTCCCCGGAGGAGACTCATTACAGGAATTCTGGGAATCCTCTGCCTAATACTACTGGTAACAGTAGTAGTCTTAGTCGCCATACGTGAGTATTCTGTAGGAATAAAAATAGGGGCCTTGTGTACTCTTCTATGAATCCATTTTTGTTTCAATGTCTGTTCACTGCCATTGTTCTAATGTAAGGAAGTTGTAAATCAGTCCCTAATGGTTTTATAACTTTTATAGACATTTCAGGAAGGTTTTTCTATTCATATTTAGGAATAAGAGTTAAAACTTCTGAATTTTTTTAAAGGCATACTGGAAAATATAACAAAAGTAATCACTGTTAAAAAATCCATTTCACAAGGACACAGAGCCATATCATGATTCCAGCTCAATTTCCTTCATATGCAAAAAAAATATTTCAACTTGTTCTGGTTTAATTGGCACAATCCATTGTGCTGTTATGGTGAATACCACTTTTCTAGGATTCCAACATACGTAAAATCCAGGGAAACTGTACCTATGAGGAAAACATGACCCTGCACCAGAGAATAACTCACTATCAAAAAGCATATACCACCACCAGAGGTAAATATTTTGGTGGAATTTGATGTCTTCTTTAGCTCCCACTTGGTTGATTAAAAAAATGATATACAAAATGTCTAATAGCATCACTGTATCACATAATATTGCAAACTGTAGGTCTCAATAACAGCCCAATTTTAAAATGCTGAGTGAAGACAATAGGGAAAGTTAGAAAATAATAGTTCTACTGACTCTACTCTTGAAACAAAGAGAAACCAAGCTCATCTGATTCTCATGCACTTACTCAGTGGCTCAAGCAAGAAAATACACAATCTTTGTTCATTTTACTCAGCTACTCTGTGCCAGGTAGGAAGGGATGTGTGAGAGCTCCCCACACAGGCACTCTGCTGCTGCTTGTATTGTGGGGACCAAGATGGGAAACAAATAAAAAAATAGCACATGACAACCTTTATTTAGCGGCAGCCACAAAGCCTGCCAGGTGTCAAGGAGATAGGTGCAGGGGAAATCTGGGTTCTGGGGCCCTGCACCTCTGGCTGCAGGCAGGCAAAACTCTTAACGTGGGTGCTTGTGGGACTGTGCGTGTATTCAGGTGTGTCCTTCCTGATGCTGGGGCCTCTGCACAACATAGCAGTGTGCCCCCATGAGGTCTTCTCCTCCCCTACAGCCTTGGGTCAGTCCACCTCTGTAAACGACGGCAGGTCTAAATAACTTTGCTGGCTCAACACCAATAGCACCAGTAGCATCAAAGGTACCCAAACAGAACTGTCACAGAGCCTTTCTTTTTATAAAGGAATTGACAGCAAGAAGTAAAGATGTTGTGTTGGATATATGTTGCTTGTGGTGCGTGTGATGGCTTATCTTGTGTTTTCATGTTTATATGTTTTTTATGAAAAAAATGAAATAGTTAGAAAAATATATCTTAGGAAGTTTGGGGGTTGAAAAACCCTTCGTCAGGCTGCGGAAGTACCTGCAGTTGGTGTGTCTCCTGGTCCTGGATGGAAGCAATAGTAAAGAAGCCAGAGGCTGGCCTGGCACACAATGCAGGCAAGAAAGCCAGTCAATGAAAATGGAAATGAAGGCGTCAGGGGGTGAGGGACAGGCTGGGGTTGGTGGGGGGAGGGGGATGTAGCAGCGCAGGTAAAAGTGCAGAAGTATCTGGGGAGTCAGATGTCCGAGTTTTGCCTGCCTGCGGCCAGAAGTGAAAAGCCCCAGAACCCAGACTCCCCCTGCAGTTTTCACCCCCTGTGCCTTAACACACACACAGTGTCACCTATGTCATGAGTTTTGCTTGTTGGCAGTTTGAGGTGCAGGTTCCCAAAAACCCCTGCACTTATCTCCTTGAAACTTGGCAGGCTTTGTGGCCTCTGCAAGAGCTACCATCCCTGCAGTTTTTACCCCACTGTGGCTTAACACACACACGTGACATGAGTTTTGCTTTCAGGACTTTCAGGTGCAGTTTCCCAGAAACCCCTGCACCTATCTCCTTGAAACTTGGCAGGCTTTGTGGCTTCAGCAGAGTTTCATCCAAATCAGCCAAAAAACAACAAAGTTATAGATATTTAACTCTTGGAATCCACACACGCTCCCTGGGTCTCGCTCGTGGAACCATGCACCCCGACAGGGTTTGCCCTAGGTGTGAACTCTGCTTGTTATGCACTACAGGCAGGTCAAATTTTCTTCAATGCAACACAAGGGGTGCATGCACAAGTCATGACACCTGTCCTAGCCATCTGGGATCACGTTGCACACATCAGCACACAGAAATGAAGTTCTCAAAAGAGTTTAACAGTGTTTTCTTTTCAAGGGGATAAAAACAGTTCATGTCCAGAAAAATGGAAACCACATGGACACTTCTGTTACCTCTTCACTACTGACTGGAAATCCTGGCAAGAGAGTAAAGGTGATTGTACTTCTTTGGACTCCAAACTTCTTGACATCAAAAATAAGGAAGAACTGGTGAGCACTTTGACTTTGCGCCCCAGAACTGGCCTCAGAGTTTGTGGCTGAGGCTGCAGTTAAAACTTTGGCAATGCCCTCTTTCAGGGTGTAGCCAGTAGGGCTGTGCAAAATGGCAGCGTTCCGTTTCAACCAGTGCAGTGTTTCGACGTTTCAATGGAACAGCATTTCATTTCGAATTGTGTTTCAATTCAAAATAGCTGTTCCATTTTGTTCCGTCAAAGCAGGGTCAAAACGTCAAAACTGTTGAGATGTTTCACTCATAGCATATAATGGGGAAGGACAAAACAGCCTATAACTTTGTCATTTGTGGCTTGATTTGGATGAAACATGCAGGAATGGTAGCCCCTTCTGAGGGCATGATGCCTGCCAAGTTTCAAGGAGATAGGCGGGAGGGTCAGGGAAACTGCACCCCAAAGTTTTGAAAGCAAAACCTGTGTCATGTGTATGTGTGAAGCCATAGTGGGGTCAAAACTGCACTCATGCTAGCCCCTGCTGAGGCTACAAAGTCTGCCAAGTTTCAAGGAGATAGGTGCAGGGGGTTCTGGGAAATTGCACCCCAAAATCATGAAAGCAAATCTCATGTCACATGTATGTGTTAAGCCACAGTGAGGTCAAAACTGCAGGCATGCTAGCCCCTGCTCAGGCCACAAAGCCTGCCAAGTTTCAAGGAGATAGGTGCAGGGGTTTCTGGGAAACTGCACCTGAAAGTCCTGAAAGCAAAACTCATGTCACGTGTGTGTGTTAAGCCACAGTGGGGTAAAAACTGCAGGGATGGTAGCTCTTGCAGAGGCCACAAAGCCTGCCAAGTTTCAAGGAGATA